CCCCGGGCCAGCCAGTCCCTGCAGGCTGGGGCATCCCCTTCCCCGCGGTTAAACTTACTGGCGCTAAAATTTTCCAAACGCGCCGCCGGCAGAAGAAGGCATTTCAGGATCTGGGGATTAGAGCCGCTGATCCTGAAATCCCAGGCTTGGCAAAGCGGCGAGAGGCTGTATTCCCCAGTGCCCGCTGACCAGCCCCAGGCAGCTTAGCACAGCAAAAAGGTTAAAAATACACAAGCAGAGGCCGAGACGGCTAAAGGGATTGGGGATGACGGAGCCTTTCACCTCCGCGCCGTGTCCGAGTGCGCAGCCCAGCCCGGGCAGACGCTTGTGGATAGCGGGCATGCAGGAACGGGCTGGGTTGAGCCATGAGCCCCACAGGCCACCTCACCTGGCTGGCACAGCCAGCTCTTGCGACCAGCACGGCTGGTTAGGGGAGGATTTTTTTCCTAGCATCACTATGTATTATGATAACTGCTAGAGTAAGAAGCAAAAAAAAAAAAAGCTGTCAGAGGTCACCCACACCAGCGCAGGGTGCTCGGACGTGGATTTCTCCATGCGCCGGTGGGGATCCCCGCTCGGCCGGCCAGCAGCCGAGACGCAGCGAGCTGATCGCCAGACAGGCGCCGAATTCCACGTTCCGGTGTCGCAGAAGCCGCATTTCAACACAGGAGGGTTTCTGCCCTCTCCTCCCACTTCGGGGAGGGCGTTGCAGGGGCTGGAGGCACGGGGTTGGCCCCAGGGAGCTGCTGGGGTGCAGAGGTCTCCCCGCCAGCTGCCTCTGGGCAAGGGAGACGAGGTCAGGAAGCATCGAGCCCTCTCAGAGCAGGAGGGCACAATCCAGGATCCTTTGGGGGCTGGGTCAGGGTTACTCTGAGCGCCAGGGAAACTGAGGCAGGACTGAGGGTGCATCCATGCCGCTGCGCCCGCAGCACGGGCTCTGACAGAGCGACAGCTTTGCTCTTCGCCCCGCTCCAGCTCGGCACCTCGCATCCCCCAAGTCCACATGAGCCCACGGGGAACACGCTCCCGGCAGAGGCTCGGCCAGGACGGTGGAACGAGCTGATCTCCTAGAGGGTGGGCACGTGGTGGCATCTCTGCAGGCATGATGGAAAAGCCACTTTTATGCCTTGCAGCAGTGAGTCCAGGCGGTCAGCAGCGATCGCAGCGAGACGCCAGCCCGCTGCAGCCACAGGGGAGACCTTACCCTAGTGCCAGGTCACGCTGCGTGGAGCAGCAGACCGTACACGCTGTGCATGCAAGAGCTGTGCTGAGGACCACCCTCCCGCGTCAGGACACGGGGAAATGCTGCTGTGCCCTCAGCAGCTCCTCATTCCCGTCTTGGGGGCTCTGTCTCTCCTTCTACTGCCTTCTGCTTCCAACCCGCAGCAATTAGCACCCACCCGCTTATATTTACACACTCCCATCATGGAGGAACCCAAGCAGCTTCTACTTCCAACCACTTTCACAAAAATTCCTGCGCCTGCGATGCGCGGGCTCCTCTACGCTCTTCCCTTTGCTTTGCACCCTCTCACACCCGCTGGCTGCCAGTGCCGCATCCCTGGTACCCACAGCTGCACCCACAGTGCTTGGCACCCATCACCGTGGTCCTGCTTACCCTCTCCCTGCCCACCAGAGACCTTTGTGGCACCTGCTTGCCCCAACCTCTGCTCGGCAGCCGGCACAGGAAGGCGAGCTTGGCAGGAGCAGCTGGAGCAGGGCAGGGGAAGGAGACCGATGCCGCTGCCGGGTTCCCTTGTCCCCACAGCCTGGCTTTAGCCCAAAGCCACCAGCTTGGGGACTGGGAGAGCGTAAGAAGGTGAGAATGGGGCATCCCCACCTCTACATTCATCTCCAACCAAGACCCCTGATCCGGGTGCAGGTCTTCCTGGGGCGGAGGGTCCTGGTTTGCCGGCACCGGCCATCGCTCGCAGAGACCCAAAAGCGGAGCCAGGACACGGGTAGGTGCGCTTCTCCCGGCAGACCTGCGCCCGTTCTAAGGTGGAGTTCAGCTTCCGAGGTGAAACATTTCCTCCCTGAAATGTTCCGGACCTCAGTGAATCACGGAGGAAACCACCCGAGGCCAGCACAGCGATCCCTTGTCCGTCAGACACGGGGAC